GAAGAACAAATAGTAATCAGAGCTGCTAACCTTGCAGAGCTCTTATTACTCCTCAAAGGTGGCCCTCAGGTCTCCATTTGAATTGTCTTTATTTTTCTTTTGTTTTTTTCTTTGTATTTTTCCACTTGCATTGTCTTACTTAAAGCTCACAACATCCCGTGAAATGATTCTATACCTCTGATTTTAATGAAAACACTGAGGTTCAGAAAGGCTACGTAATCAGCCAGCATGTGGAGGGGCAAAGATCTGAATCCATGTCTGATGCCCAAGCTCAATTTAGAACTGCTGTGCAACACCACATTCCCCTACCTGCGCCTGCAGAGGTTTGTCTGATCCACCAAGCAGGCCAACAGCTCTTGAATCAGCAAGTCCCGCAGCAAATCTTCATCGCTGGGGTTCTTGGGTGGGGAGCTGCAAGGTAAGAGCCTCTGGCTGACTGTTTTAGCCTGAGCCGCGCCCAAAGAGAGTAAACACAGGACTGGGGACACCACTGAGGGGCAGCCACGGATGGGGGGAGGGAGCCAACACAGCTGCCTCTCTGTTGGCTCAGCTCTGAGATCTGGAGCCTGCTTTCTGCCAGCCCCACCCAGCACTGCCTGCCTGGGGAATATGGACTCTTCCTACAGGGAGAGTCAAACAGAATTCTGGTGTGAGATATTCCGCCCATCCACCTCTGCAAGTGTTCCAGAATGCAGAGAGTACTTTGGGCACATTCACTTTTTGAAATGACCTGTGCCATTCAGAGAGGGGATAACTGATTTCAGGGGAGTGGGCCTGGGAAGATCCCCCACTCTTTCACAAACAGCCTTCCCGAAGTTTGGCAGGGGGAGGTGGTGAGGCCGGAACCTGAGGTCTCTTCTTTCCTGCCCTTCTCCTGACTCAGTGACTCTGCTGTGTATGAAGTCATCAATCTTAGAAACCCTGTCCCTGAAACCCCTCCTAGCACCCCTCCCCTGTTCCTCCAAGGCTTCTTCCTTAAGCTTGGGCTGACCTCCAGGAGTTTGCTCAATGAAGACCCCTCTTTGAACTCTTGAGAGGAAGAGGATGATTATCGAGGGTCCTTGCTCTGCTCTGGGGTCAGGGAGAGGGAACAACGAGGTGGGGGCGGGGCAGGAGGCTCGGCTGCCTCCCTTTCCTCTGCGCCCTGACTCACCTCTGTGGCTCCACTGCCTCCTCCTCCTTCCTATTAGCTTGACTGGCCAGCTCGAGTGCCCGAGCCTCCCTCTGGGTGATGTTGTGTTTCCAGCTGGGAAGATAAGATTAGAGAGTGGGCAAGTTGTGGAGACTCCAGGCTAGAGACACTTGAATCTTTTAGTACCTCAACCCCAAAAGCAGAGGGTACCTTTCTCCACTTAAGCCCACCCAATGGTGGTCTTCAGCTGCCTCCACCAGTGAACAGCTTTTCAGAATCTACCACGCTGACCAGAGACGGCATAGAGCAGGGAGAAGGATAAGGACAGTTCATCTTCTCTTCACTTTTGTGTGTGTGTGTGTGTGTGTGTGTGTGTGTGTGTG